TTAATATGATTTAGGGTAAGTTAAAAAAAACTTATTTTTAAAATCAAACCCAAACAATGTCAAATGAAGGTTAACTCAAATAATTGAAAAATACAAAACAGTTTAGTCAAATTCTTTAACATTTTTTAATTACTAATATAAAATTTAAGTAATATTTATTTTCATAATTAAATATTTAGAAAATTCACATATGACTAAATTATGTATTATTAAATAGAACACATAAGTATTAGTTAAGTAATAACTTTGAAATGTGTGAATTTGAAAAGAAGGGGCCCACCTTATCTTAGGTACAGCTTCCTACCCCACTCCATGTGAGTCAATCTTCCATTTTTGAAATGCAACAAAACAAGCACATGATTTACAGATGGTAGCAATTATAAAAGCTACTAAAACAAGACATTGATCCAAAAATTTGTTGTAAGGTCAAATACAGTGTCTGGAATTGGAGCTATGTTAAACACTTAAATAAAATTTATAAATTAATTAAATTTTTATTTAAATATAGTTTGCGTGGACGTGAAATTTGCTAATATATATTTAAATAAGATTTATAAATTAGTTAAATTTTTATTTAAAATTATTAATTTGTTAATTAATTTAATATGGACTCAGATAACAATGAATATGTATGTAAAAAACCATAAGATGAAAGTTACTTAATTATTTCCAAAGTGAATTAATTATTTCGATCTTGAATATGTGTGGTGATGCACAATTACAAGTTACAACTTTTTTAATCTGATTTTCCAAAGTGATTTTTTTTTTTTAAGTAATTCTGTATACGTAGAGAAGAGGTGCTGAATAATGCAAAATATTATCTATTATTTGATGGTTTATCTATTTTCTATCAAAGATTGTCAGGTGAGAGTGATTTTTTAAAAATAAAATTGACCCTTGCATAATAAGGTGTAAAAATTTAGTAGAATTTCTTAACGTATTTTTATCCACTTAAACGTATTTTTTCATGCCTCTTGTTTTCAGCGCTGTGTTTTTAGATGTACATTTTTTTTAATTTATTTTGGATGCTTTTGAAGAAATATTTACGAAAAAAAAAATTCGTATATGTGTCTCTAAAATTTTGTCAGAACAGATTTTTTTTTTAAATCCAGTTTTATTAATCACAGATGAAAATTAAATGTTGCAAATGAATATAAAATAACATATATTCGTAAATAAAATAATGTGATATATATATATATATAAGAAGTCGTATGTCATAAACATCATCAAAAAAATAGTACATCAATATAATCAAAATATAGTATATATAAAAAAAACACCACAGTCACTATTGTGTGTGTCTGACAATATCTCCATCCTCTCCTCTGCCTATGCTCTGCCGCCTCCTCGACCGCCCGATCTGCGTCCTCGGTCAATGATCTTCCCGTCCTAGCGCAATGTCTACGGTACATAAGTGTCCCATGTGCCACCGAATCATCTCATCCAATATACGTCTGTGGTCAACCCCTCAGGGAAGAAACTGACGCCAATGCCTACCCGCCTCATGTCCACTATCTGACGACAACGAGACAAGACATCTTGAGTGTTGTCCAACTGAGATTGTTGCTCCTCTAAAATCTCCTAATGAGTTGGTTTAGGCGGTGATCCTTCTGCAGTGGGCACCATGTAGGGGTGTGAGATAGTGAAAAACCACATGATGTAGCCATCAACGCAGCTCTAGTTAATCGGGGCTCTGGTCGCTCGAGCCCCGTCTGATACCATGTGCCTCTGATAATCAGCATAGATCTCGTCTATCTACATAAAGGTCAAGCCAAGAGAAGCGGAGACAGCTGGGTGCCTGGGTATCGTCTGTGTGTACCCAAACTGCCGCATGACGCGCTCGAGAAAATATGGAACAGTGGTGATCGAACTGCATGCCAACCATCTAGAGAAAAGTGAGATCTCATCAATTGGGCACATCACACAATGATCAGCATAGACGTCGTAGCGGATGTCCTCAATAACCAGGCGATCGAGATAGACTATGTAAGGATCGACCGTCTGGTTCCCCCTGAGCGGTAGAAAGGCACACACGCGGCATCAGCTCTGGGTAATCAGGCATACTCCCCCACCCGACGATAATGGGAAGTTATTGGAATATCCAAACCTGAAATGAAAATAAAAAACATCAGGATCAAGCATTATCACGAATCTAGAATGAAAAGAAATTAAAAAAAGTTGAAGGATATAAGATTGTTACCACAAGTAGTGACAGGTTGTCTACCATAGTCCTGGTCTTCCACAGGTATCCCTCTCCCAACCTCGAATACGTGTACGCCAGTGTAGTCTCCCCCCAAATGTACTCATGGATCCGTATGGAATCCAAAAAGTACATCAGTTGCATTGACATCGGTATATGTGGAGCTCGTGTATCTCAACCTCAAATGGATCCCCATTGTCGGCCATTCTGCAGCGAGCCCCTCTAGTCTTATCCACCTCCTCAAGCGCATCCAGTGGATCAGCCTCAAGCTCCTCCAACAACATTTCTCTCGCATCCTCCTTCGTCATCCTACCGTGACGGATGAGGGTAACCCTGATCGGTATATGTAACAGGAAAGAGATGTCGTCCAATGTAATCGTGATCTCGTCGTGTGGTAGATGGAAGGAAGACGTCTCAGGGTGCCATCTCTTCACAAATCCCATAAGCATCCCGTTGTGGATCAGACCGTAACCGATCTCACAAAGGTCCTTCAAATCAGAGGCGGCAAGGGTGTTCTAGAATTAAACCTCATGCAGATGATCCAAAGCTAATATCTTCCACCCATGGTTATAGAACTTATGTGGAGGACGAGTTTGAAAGTTTACATAAATAAGATAAAATGTTATTAAAAAACAATGGTATAAATTAAAAATTTCCAATAAAAAAAAAAAGAAACAATCTGAATAATGTTACCTCTCCACCCCAGACATGTCTGGCAGTATAGTCAGCGTACCCTGTCAGCAGAGACATATCTGAGGGACCCCCTGGGAAACCCTCGGGCCCATCATCATCCTCGTCATTAGCATCTTTCGGTGGCGGGTTATCACCATCTAGAGGTGACACCGGATCAACATCATCGGCAGGAGGAGGAACAAGAGTATCCCGACAAGGCCTGCGGGAGGACGGGGCCAATGATGAACCCTCGGCTAAATCCCGACGCCTCCGAGATGAAGAAGTGGATGAGGGGTAGGATAGGAGGTCGAAGGAGTGTCCTGGGCATGTGATGGCGAAGGTTGTGCAGTAGGTTGTGCTCGCGTAACGACATGGCTCTGCTCGCATCTAACAGATGCATGTTGTAGAACCCGTCCAAATCACAATCTATCGTCTCTGTGTGCCATAATGTCTGCAAGGTATAACCAAGAAAAAATAATTAGATACAAATAAATTAAAAAAGAAAATAACATTTTTTTACTTCCAGATATGTACACACAGAAAACTTTTGTAGATGTATCTACAGAAGTACCTAAAGTTCACAACATTTGATTTGTCCTAACGTTAATTTGTTCCGTAGATGTAACTCCGAAACTTTCTGTAACTCCAACAGTCATGACAATAGCATACCCTACCCATGAAAACTGATTTTTTGAAACTCTGGTCGTCTGTTTCAGCTAACAAACAATACTTACATCGTCTATAAATTATGCTTCTAAAACTATCTAAGAATTTCTACCTCTAAAACTATATTCTAACTCGTTTACGGGAAATACTCAAAAATATCTTGGAAACTCGTAAAGTTGCCAATTATATCAAGTTTTGAATGATTTGGAGTGTCTTGATCGTTGAAATGAATGCTCATTGTCGAACTCGATTGGAAAAAAGTAAGTTTGGTGAAAAATAATTTTTTGAGAATTGAAAGAGTTTGAGAGTGAAGATGAAAAATTAAGAATGAGGGAGGAGAAGGGACTCTGATACGAATGTTTTTCAATATGTTTCGGAGCTACATAAACGGAAACATTTGGTAGATGTAGCTTCAAAAAAAATCAACGCTAAGTAAAAAAAAATGCGTGCAAAGATACAATTAAAACTTATTTACTTTAAGTGCATTTTATGAAAACAAGTATAAGTTTTTTGTTGAGAGCTTGATTTCTCTGCTGACATAATCACAACACATATCTTGTCAATAAAATGAAGTGAAGCATTAAACAAAACAAGTAATATAGCAACAAAATTGATAATTTGTAGTGAAGATATGCTTGCTAATGCACCAAAGTAAAATCTCACAAAAATGAATACTTTTGTGTTGTTTTGGCGTAGCACAAATTTTGTGTATCCTGCAATGTGTTCTAGGGAGGGATTTATTTTAGCATTGGTCTTTAATTTGATCTGATAATCTTTTACTAACAATCAAATTGGGATAAATATATTGGAAAAGGATATACAAAATGGGACAAAGGGAGATCATGTAAACACAGTAATAATACTACATTAGTTTGGTAAAACTAGGTTGCATCTACTCCTGTACAATTTAGCAACCAGAACTTTCAAATTTTATAGCCGTGAATCAGTGAAATAAAACTGCATTGATAATTTGAGGCATTTCGTATCATATAAACAAACAAAATATGCATTTTTTTGCTACATGCTATGCGTGTATATATATATATATATATATATAAAGTGCCTTTCTACTTTTGAGAAAGAGATGAAAGGGTTGGATCAAAAACACGAGTTGAGTAATAACCACATTTGAAAAAACAAAAATTACACAGATGGTGCAAACTTCATTTGATAATTTAGGTCCAATTAGTAGCTATGATGAAATCGACAATATACAAAGGAGGCACTCCTCAATTCTCATCAGAACCTTAAGTTAAATTCTAATAATACAACCGAGGCCCTACTTGATTTCCCTTTAGAATCTTAAGTTAACTTCAAATAATACAAACCTTGTGATCTACATCATAAGAGCATACAGCATTCTTCTTTCAACCAACCAAGGAACCACTTAGCCATTAGATCAAAGAATGGATTTAGATTAGTTTTCACAAAAAAGGACAGAAGATAAATAACGAATTGATCAAGCCTCGTTAATTGGTCTCCGAAGACCAAAACAAACAGCTGACCGAAAAAGAGGAGATGCATCTTCTGTCAATACCTCGGCGTCCAACTTTTCAATATGGGCCCATATCTGCATAAACAATATGAATGTTGCATGATGTCAGATAATTTACTAAGGTACTAAATCCTTTTTGAGGATGCTACTAGAACAACAATTGAGACAAAAATATAAGTGTGCATAAAAATTAGATTGATTTCAATTTTTTCAAAAACTTGCTACGATTATATTCAAAATTGAAATGCAAGCACTTAAATCATCATTACCTCAGATGCGTACTGCCTAGAAAAGGCCTTCACATAACTCAAAGTAGTGATACACCACTGCTCCTTTTCACCTACATTATAAGCAACACTTTTCTTCCCACCATTTGACTGACTGTAGAATAGATAAAGAAGCCATAGTTAATACAAAGTAATAGTATTTTTCCACTAAGATAAATTTGGTAGTTGTTGAGTATGCATCTTGGTAAGATAAGGACAGGCACGGAACCTGTTTTGAGGTATCTGATTCTCATTGTCTACTTCCATCGTTGACGGTTCTTCGAGGTCAACTACCATCTCTTCAACTTGGGCAGACTTCCATTCGCGAAGTGTTCTAGCTCCAGATCCTTTGGGAAGGCGATCAGCCAATACATTTGAGAAGCTTTTAAACAACAAGAGAAACAATGCCTGTGTGAACCAATAGGCACCAATGAAAGGAAAATACTGTGAGAAACAGACCTTCAAGTGCATGCATGCAATTCAAATTAGATGGGTCGGCTACCTCTTTGAAGCAAAACCAAAATTATAAATCAAATAAATATAAGAGGCTAGAGGGAGCTACAAATGAAAGTGAAAAGAAAATCCATAGTTGTATAGTACTAATTTAAGTGCCTTTTAACAAGACAGCAATCAAAATATAGAAGTGGTTAGATGCTTCTCCGATATCTAGTTTACATTTTTTACTGCTTAAGGATTGTTTTTATCTATCATTTCATACACCCCACCCTTCTAATAACATTTCTTTTCTGCAAATAACCACATTAGACCTGGGGCTGAGTACAAAATAACCCAATCCTATAGTTCTCTATTTAAATATCACCCTTCCGCCTTAACTGAGAACTTATGGCCATGGTGTAGTCCTAGTCACAGGAGGAGAGTGAATATTTCTAAACTATAATCATATTATTGCACATGGTTTTTTAAAACATTTTCAAATAGCTCTTGTACACGGCATAAAATTGTATCCAAAGAGAACGACGTGGCCCTTCATGTCACTTCTGATAAGGAAAAAATGTCTCCAGACTATTAGCCATTGCAAATTTTACATCATTTACCTCATTTTCATCAGTTGCTCGGGCAAGAAGAGCTTCTTTAGCTTCTATAGAATCTTGTATAGACACCAGCTCTTCCTTTGCTTTTTCAGCACGTGATTTCAATCTATTCATTCTTACAGGATTGTCACCGATAACTGGCTCACCTTCCACAAGTGCTAGTTTTGACTCTGCGATATCTAGCTCTGTTTTCGCCTCATTGGCAGCTGCTTCAGCTGATGAAATATTCCTTTTAAGAGATGATATTTCTTTCCTTAGATCAGAAATACGGTTGTAAGTTTTGCTTACTGCATTTCTAAGAACCTGTTGGATGGAAAACAAGGTGGCAACTATGAAACAAAATAAAGTATGCATGGCAACTAAGAACCTGTTGGATGGAAAACAAGGTGGAAACTATGAAACAAAATAAAGTATGCATGGCAAGGACAAAATAGTTTAAATATGTTATGATTTGTAAACCGTCATATGATAAAAACATGTAATTTCAAGCACTTATAAATGTTAAAAGAGTTAGCCATGCAAAGCTGAACAAGCCAAAAGACAATCAAAAGTAAGAGACATATTTCCAAATCAATGTATATTTTACTGAGAAAGAAGAATTACAAATGAATTATCCATAAAGCTAGATTAAGTACCTCCCATGGACGATCTGACAAATGAAATTGCTCAATATTTTCTTCTGAGAAGACCCATCTCACAATAGCCAGATTTGATATAAGCCGGTAGCCCATCATTCGGTCAATTGCTATTGCAGTCATTTGGGTGTTACTCTTCCAGAAAGAACTGATTTCAGCTATCAGCATAATTTGCTTATCTTCATCAGGACATATTTTTGCAATGACTTGCCCATATCTTTCTAATACGGTTATCAAATGAGTGAAACTCTTGGATCCAATATTGAGAAGAGTTTGTATGACAACTTTGAGTGTAACTTCTAGACTATTATTTAAAGACACACTTTCATCAATCCATGCGATAATTTCACGGACAGGTGCCTTCCCTTTAACCATGTCGTTGAGATTTCCAGACAGCAGGTGTTCATTGTTTTCTTTACCATCTTCTACACCGAGATTGAAATTTGGTCCACCCTTCGGAGGAAGCAATTCCTCTAAGCCAGGTGCATTTTCAATGCTCTGCACAAAATATAATGAAAGGAACCATTGGAAACATCAACATGACAATTTCATGAAACCAAACTAAGGCCTATTCATTTAAATGCTCATGGAGAATCATCAACAAAAATACATAGTGAGACTTCTCTATACTCTTTTATGATTTTCGAATATGGATCATAACTACAAAATAAACCACAAGTGGCAATGCAGTAATGCATAAATACCTGTTTGACTTTGTCCCAGTATGACAAGCGAACTTCCCTCTCCAAAACCTCTTGAACAAAAACACGTTGAGGGGCCCACCTAGGGAGATCTAACACATAAGCCCACTCTTCCCAAGGCCAGATGAACTGAAAGTTTGACCTGTATAGCAAAAACCATCAACCAGTTTGAACATGAATAAACTAGATAGTAAAGATACAACAACACTTTTGAAAGTAAAAAGATAAAAATACCTAAAATTTATTTAAATAAGATCAAGATTTTAATACATATTAGCATGAAATGTGACTAAAAAACAGTCACACTTCACCAATTTCCTAAGTACCGAGCATAACCGGTGCAAATAATGTGAGAATCATGAAAGCTATCTATTATTATCATATTGCAATTTGCAACTTTAGCAAATAAACTTAATGGAAGCTTAGACATGACAATTTTAGAGTGGAGACGGTATTAGAAAATGGAAAGGGGGAAAACAAGATCTACATCACACAGAATATGAACAGGTACATATCATCTTGAAAGATGAATGAATGCCGAAATAGCAATTGCAAAAAGTTGAAACGTACAAATGATGTGAGAACCAAAGGATTAGTCGTGTTCGGCACTCCATATCCAAATCAGCAATCTTTTCAAAGAGAGCACGAACTGCTCCAGCAACAACTGCAGGAAAAGCTCCAGGAAGAGCCTATTATGTAGCCACAAAAATAGAAAGCAATTAGTACCAAACATTAAGTGGAAATTGCAATATGTATAAAATTGTAAAGGAGAAATGGTGATTCCTCGGTGATGGAGAAAAGAAGTAAGCAATGTTAAGTCCACTTGAAATTACCTTACATAGGTCAATAATAACCAGTGTGTAATACACTGGTTTGAAAGGTGGTTGTGGAAGCATCAGCAGCTGCGAGAGAGAAAGAGTGAGAGAGAGAGAATATTATTATTATTATTGTTATTAATATTATTATTATCATTATTATTAGTAGTAGTAGTAGTAAATAATTAAATGTGCCAATATTGTGTAGCATATTCAGCTACTCAGATGAAAAAATACATGGAAACAAAATTCTGCTAAATCAAAATATGAAATAAAACATGTCTGCATTTAACTTTCATATTTTAGTTCAAATTTAACAATTTAATTATATAATAAAGCCATCCAAAGCTGTTTCCCACTAGGTGGATTAGCTACACGAACATACAACAGTTTTTCCTAACATATGTCGCCGTCTTCCAATTCTCCCACACTCGGAGTCAGTTGTTATACCAAAATCATAAATTCACAGCAGTGAAACTCACGCGTCATGGCTTTCAATTCTCCTAGAGAGTCTCATTTCATATTCGCCGTTTTCCAATTCTCCCGCACTCTGAGTCAGTTATACCAAAATCATAAATTCACAGCAGTGAAATTCACGCGATGGCGCTTGCGTTGTGTAAGGTGCAAGAACAAACTAACACCTCACATATGCACAATGAAAAAGCTTCAACCTCGTCTAGGTACAGTCACTTGAGAGTGTGAAATGAGAAATGATGTCACCTTATTAAATTGCACTTTGGAAACTTTCTTGTAGTGGAAGACACTATTCTTTAGCTAGTTATGACATCCTATACTAAGAATGACTCAAACATCAATGAAGAGTAGTTTATTTGTTTTTAAGCTTTATGAACTAGACCTGCCACAAAGCTCGTGTGGAAGGCCAACGCAAGCTTCTTTCTTTTCTTTGTTTTTACATTCCTTAGTTAGTAAGGATTACTCAAACATCAATGAAGAGTAATTTCTTTGTTTTTAAGCTTCTGAAGTAGATCTCTCAAAGCCCGTGTGGAGGGCCAATGCAAGCTTCTAAAAATAATCTTATAATGTCAAAGCACAGATTACACATAAGTGGGGCAAAAGAGATTGCAACTTTACACTATAATACCTGAGAGAATATTGTCTCAGCCATGAGGTACTCATATCTGAAGGTAACTGGCAGGCCAACCATGAAAGCAGCACACTCCTTTCGGCTAGCTTTGCAAGAATCCAAAAATGAGAATAGTTGAAAATACATTGAGAACGTTTTAACATGAAAAGTGTTTAAAAAAGAGATCAAGTATAACAAATGATAAGGGTTCTAGTAAACTCTAAAGGGTTTAATGGTGATGAACTGACAGTGTAAAAATGTTTTACACTGTCATCCAATGGGAATATATTATTTTGCCTGTTGGACTTTCCGCCCAACCCAAATTCTGAGATTGCCATATCATACAAGTATTTCAAAATTTACAGTGTGACTTGGCAGGATGCATCATCGTCATTGGTTGACAGTGTAAAATCAACTTACACTGTCAGTGCATCACCCATTTTCTCAACTCTAAATAAAATAAATGGATAAATCATAAGTTTTGTTGATATTACCACACAAGACACTTGATGGAATTAAAATTAAAAGTTAACTAGACAAGATTAGCATAGTATGATGTGTTTGAGTATATTTTACTAGTAATTCCTAGATTTGCACTCTAGTCACATCATCACTAATAATATTCCATTATAAAGAAATTTAGCAGTGTATACTAACCTGCCATTGAAATACAGAAGCACGTCTAAGAGATATTCTTCCACCACAAATCGATCTATAGGCTGCAGATCCTGCCATCCAAAAGATTTTATTGAACCCATTATGTGATTGTTGTTGGCAAAAGTGACATACAAATTAAAATAAACCTAGCCTAAGCATTACTATTACACATGAACCCTGAAAAGCTTCATGTGTTCAGGAAATTATCAGCAGGTTCAACATGCATAAAGCAGTCTGGTGCTCACTAAAATTAAGACAGCTACTTAATGGGAGAGAAGAAAGAGAGAAGTACAAAAGCAGATTATAAGAAATCTTCCCAAGTAACAACAAATGATATTAAGACAATGCACATCAAAATAGATTTTAAACCTCAAATCCAATATTCAAGGGGAAAATATTAGCAGGTGCCAGAGACTAAATTGAAAAGATGATGTGGCAACATTGCACATGAGATTACTTCTCTCTTAAACAGGTTAAAGCTAGAGATGTAAACAAGTTATTAAAAATATTTGCACAATTTAATCACCATCAAGTATAAAATAAAAACATGTTTTTGTTCAAACTTATATGTTGATAGTTGTAGATTAATATTCAATGAATGTAAAAAAGTTATTTACGTTCCAAATATAATATAACTATAGAACAGAGCAAAAAAGTGGCATGAGTCAGGAACACAATAGTTTTGTGAAGACTGATGCGCCATAGATGCTAAAATCTTCAATGGAAGAACATCAAAAACATTGTTAGGTGAAAATGCCATGGAACTGGAAGCTTATATTCTGAGAATTGCACCAGAAATTTTTGAACTCTTTCATGAAATTATCATAAAAGCGTTGCTGTATGAGTCAAAACTACATGGAACAAAGAAGCTTTCTACAAAAACAGTTTTTAAGTTAGAGATAGATTCTATTTTTTGGGTACACCAGCAATCAATTGTTGAGACTAATCCCTAGAGGTAACTGAGATATATTTAAGGGGTTGACACCTCCCAACATATGTTTTTCCTTGTGCAGAAGGATCAAAGTCCCCATCAAATATCTAAATCTTGTGTCACGCCGTGTTGGTTAGAGATAGATTCTTCTATATGCTAAATTTTGGAAAGACACGTCCTGAGAATAACATTCTTAAGAAGTTTTATAGTCTTGACAGCCACGGCAGCTTTCAAAAGCATAAACTATATACTTCTAAAATAAACCTGTTGCTTTTAAGAAATATCCTCAAAACAGTTTACCAGAAATATTTCTGTACAAAAAAATGCAAAATTCTTGCGAACTTTTTCAAATGAAGGTATAAATAATTGCTTACATAAATAGTTAAAAGGATTTTATTCATGAGAAGTTCTCTCTATTAAAAGCTGAAATTTATAGCCTAAAAGGAAAAGGAAATCTTTGCATCATTGCGATAAGATTTGGAAGTTTTCTAGAGTATGCCAAAAAAATGCAAAACAGATGATTAAATGCTTCAAGAAAATGTGTGCCAATTATTTCATCAATTTAAAAACAATAGAAACACAACCAATCAGTGAATAAACATTGTTTCAAATCAATTGAATGTTTGAATAAGAAAACCCAAATAAAACGGAGGGAAACTGAATGTGAACACTAGTCAAATGGTAAAAGAGACAAGTTTCCATGAGAAAGATTAAAAGAAAGAAAACTAGTGCAAACGTGCAAGACAAGTATCATATAGAAGGCAACTCACCTCCATTTTACTGGAAGGAAATATATTTAGCCGCCGTATTCTTTGAGGATACTTTAATTCTGCCTCATGCTTCTCTTTACCAAAAGATACACCAGAAGGAACTGAAGGCGGACTCGGTAAGTTGGGGCAGCTTATTGTCCCAAATTGATGGGACTTCCCAGCAACCAACTGAGCTTCAAAGGAAAGATGGGGTCTCGGAACTAACAATTAAAAAAGCCAACATAATCAGGCAGGGAAATAAATGTAAACAAAGTTGACGAGTATGACATAAAATATAACAAGAGAAGAAAGCAAAATGATGAGTCAAATAAACAAGTTGTACTAAACAATATCACTTGGTATACAAATCAAGTCTGTGAGGTGGTATGTGAGAACACGCCATAGACCTGTGTAGTGTAGCACACTAATATTCCTTAGTCAGTTTATGTTATTCACACAGTTGTCAGTAACTGAACCCGTTGCCCAGCTCTCATGGAATATGTTGTCTATATAAACACTCAAAATGCATTGTTACCATTATGAGAAACACTTCACAGAAAATAACATTTCACTGAATCTTTAAAGAAGTTATCTGCAGTTCAGCGCGTGAATTTTTTTTATAAAATGGGGGGCTCAGCCTCTGCCTTTGCACATAAACTACCTGCTCTTAATATGAATGAAGGGCAAGTAATATGATATGGACCTCTAGTTATGCTTATTAGGATTAGTTATGCTTATTAGGATTTATTATTTAATTTATTTCTAAGTTAGTATTTCAGAATTTTTAAATTTTAATTTTAATATTTTTAGGACAAGATTTAGGTTGGAACAGAATTTACCTATTCATCAGGATTATTATCATTTAAATTTAAACGATAGTAATTATAGGGAAAGGTAGTTACTAACCTAATTAATTAGGACTTATCTTTTATTGTAAGCCTATTTAAAGGCATTTAGATTGGCAATAAAAATCAAACAATAATTATTATCAAAAAATACTTGTGAAATCAAGAAGAGACTCTGTCAAGGACGAGTCCGCTTCTGCCTTCACCATAGGTCGATGCAAAGCTTCTACCGTGTCTAGGACTGTGTCAATACGGTCCAAGACAAGGGACCATAACATAATACTTTTTTTGGTCTATGCATTACACACACAGAAACCAAGAAACTGAAACAATCCAGTAGGCAGAAATCCACAAAAGAGAGAAATAAATCCATGACCTCCAAGTAAACCTAATGATATTTTAAAGAGATTGCAAAATGGATTTGCTAAACCATATTAGTTCATTCTAAGGTGGCATAACCTATACATCATTAATGCATTTGATGATGTCTGTTCCTTTATAGTCATTGATTATGTACTTAATTAACTGCACTAACATACACTGCTAAAATTTGCATAAAGAAAAAACTTACCACTTTCAACTTTCCATCCATTGCTTGATAAAACTTGTATTCTATCCCACAAGTCCTCCAAAAAATCCTTAAAATAGGCATAACAAAAATAATTTGCTTTAAACCCATTCTGAGCAGCTTAGAAAAGGGGATAATAAATAGACATAAAAATAACAGAGCATTTCTTTCATTTTTTTAAAAATATTTGACAACAAAATTTTGCTGGAGTTATAGCAGAAGTGGACTTTATATTGCCAATGTTATTCTAAGAATATATCCTTCAACTGTTTTTAAGTTCAGTATTGATGATAATACCCTAACAGTATCAGCGTGAGTTTTATTTTTAAAAACTCGGTCTTCTAAGAAAAACATGACACGGTAGGTTTTCTAAAATTTGAAAACCTAGTCATTTTGCAAAAACCCAGCCCCGATTCCCTCTTCCCCAACTCCACAGAACATGAAACAAACTCGCAATCCCTCGAGTTGGCGGCAAAAATCACAATACCACTATGATCTTTTGCATGTCCGATCTTATGTGCAACGCAGCACAATGGAAGGAGTTTGGATTGCAGGATTGCGTGATCCCATGAAAATCATGTGGGACCGACATGAGTTAGTGGAACCCATATTCAAAATAGTGGGGCCGTTTGAATTTCAACTAATGAAAGAGAATGTGTTGAAAAGAGTGTCTTGCAAGCATGTGCTCCTCAACTCTTAGGCTGAGCCTCAAATGTATAACTGCCAGTAAATGTAAACAATCTAAAATCTAGGCAGGTGCATTCATAAGCTGAAAGTGACAGTTCAAAATCCTAATTTTTACTTTCTAACCAAAAACAATCATTTGATAGTATGGCAAACTTACAAAGTTCTGTTATGCCTTCAATAAATGCAACACAACAAGTACGACCCAATTCATAAAAAAAGCTACACTCAGGAGAATAGTAACATTGATATGTTGCTCAAAGAACAGACAAATAACTTGAAACTAAGTATTAGCAAACAGAAGCCAACCTTGTTATTAAGATCTCTCTCAATTTCATCATCATTCTCAAAAAAGGATAGCCCAGTGTCAGAAGTATGCTTTCGGATGCTCAAGTAAGCTTCTATAGCAAGCATTACTCTCTCGATATCTTCGGGTACTTGCTGTGAACAGATGTGACATGTCATTCAATAGAAAAGAATACTCAGTGAGTAATGAAATGAATACTATAATTTCAACAAACATGCACATTAAAATATGCCAACAACAGCAAGCCAAGAAGCTGAATCATTTTCTGCAAAATTTGTAACTTCTAAATATAAGAAAATACCAAGATGCTTAAAAAATGCCAACAACTATAAGCCTAGAATATCCTATGATATCTTTAATATTACTAGAGTATCATAATTTGTTTTTTAGGATCACTTAATAATCTTAGAGTACCTTAAATAATCTATAGGATTTTTTTTTCATATTACAGATTATTTGCTTATAAAAAAATACTTACTATTAAAATTATTTATTCCCGATTTCCCAAATTATTTAGAAATCAGTCTTTTACATCAAATAATATCAAGATACTATAACTCTATTTATTTCTCTCCACCTTTTTACTACAAATCAACTTCAACAGTTTCAACAGCCTCAATAAAGTTTAAAAAGATAACCAAATGTTTAAGCATCATATAATTACCTCAACAAGTTCAGCCCCACCCCACGGGAGGCATGATAAAATGCAAGTAATGTAAAAGTCAGCACATGGCTGCCATAACGGATTCCCTTTTTCCTCGTCTACTGTTGTGGCAGCTGATGATAAAAATGTTTCAAAGACACCAACTAGAGAGTCTGGTTGAAGAGCTTTACTGCACATCTAAAGAATTTGAAAGAAAGCAACCAAAACAAAATGAAAATACAGTTCCCAGTATATACTATAAACACAATCCAAAGCATATGAAAACTGCAGTACTAAGAGAACGAGAAAGAATAGAAGATAAAATGTGAATATATTTGTACATATGCATGTCAAAATATTAAAGATGGGGAAAGAATTAGAAGCCAACAGTATGATAGTCTAATAGGGGACAAACATTTAGTGAAAAATCAAGACCTCATACTGTACAGAATATACCGCAAACAACTATGAAGTTGGTTAAGTACACTATTTTTCTACCAAAAAAAAAAAATCAATGCCAATACTTACCATAGCAGTCATCAGCCTCGTTAAAATACGAATTCCATTGCAGTTTTCAGTCTCTAAGGCTTCCTAAATTAAAAATACAACAACTGAGCAACATAGAAGAGTATAATCATAAAACATAAACCAAAGAGGAGACATTTGCAGATCAAAGTAAAACTTGAATAGTTTATTATATTTAATAATTAAAACAAAATTAAAGTAATATACACTGACATTTATCATGAATGAAAAAACAAATACAAAAAATACAAAACTGATAGTGTAAGTATTTAAAAACCATTGATAAGAATCATTAAATGGGAAAGTAAAAAATTGTTGAATCCAATCAAACAAAACCATAACCATCACATAATCAAATTCGATGTTTTATAAAAACTTACAAAAAAATATGGTTCGCAGCCAAGTAAACATTTCAATCTAATTTCATTGATTACAATAGGATCAAAATGCCACTGTCAATCACAGCTCATACACCAATGGAGGTGAAACCAAAGGTGTGTGAAGTGATAACATGTAAATCGAGATAATGTTGGTGTTTACATAGCGGGCACTAGGTCACACTCACATGCATCTATTACAGTATCCTTGTCAAAGACTAAAACACCTTTGAAAAAACAATCACCATAGCAAAACTCCCACTAGTTTGATATCATTAATGACTAAAACGAAGTTGCCAATAATCCACCAAAAAAATCAGATTTGTCAATCAAGTATTGTAGCCAATGGTGGCGGGCATACATGCACCAAAATTTTATTTTAGGATGAAAGGGAGACATTCTTAACAAATATGTCAACTTTGTATTATACAAATCAAGATGAAAAGAAACATAATAGTAATTGATTGTAACACATAAATATCAGTTTAGTGCGAGAAAAAAGTAATAGTATTTCCAAGCAAAAACTAACTCATTATAAGGCCTTTGATTTTTTTAATTAGATCCCCATCTCTGTATTATTTTTCACTTATATCCGTAAAATTTGTCAGTTTCAGCTATATGCTCTGGTTTCTTAGTTGAATGGTCCATGGTCTCATATTCAAGAAAACAGATTCGAAGAACATTCAACAGCTTAAAGCTATGCACTTGACTACATGAGCATTCCTAACACCAGCCTCCCATTACTCACCACCTTTCAGGAACTCAAGTGCAAATGCAATGGCCATAGGTTAAAATATGAAATTACTAATTACATGAAACTAATGAATTTTATTCTGAATATAATTTGGATGGTATAATGAATAAATATAATTTGAATGGTATAATGAATAAATATAATTTGGATGAGCTTTGTGGCTATTCAGGTACAGCTTGAAGGAATAGGGAACCTACTTCACTCTATCATGGCAACCTTAGTGAGTGAAATGGGCAATGAGTGCTTTTGGTGGAAGTAAACAGTTTTTTGTATCAGACATGGTCAAAAGACAGACACTAGAAAAATCACAAGCCATAGAAAGGAGGGAAAATCACAAGCCCGCTTATAAATATTTTAAAGGCATGTAGCATAAAACCTGCCATGTAGTATCACTACGACCAACTTTGGCAATTTTGGATTAAATGGTGACAATCTCTGCTCCTAACTCGAATAACAGTTTTTCTATCAAGCATCCGTAAATATGAAACTCTAAATTTGTATTTTTATAAAAGTAGCTCTCAAATTCAAATACCAAACAATCCATATGGAAGGCAGCAGACTACACTGCTGTGCAAACAAACAACATTTCAATTTCAAATTCTAAGATGCAACATACAGTTAAGAATTGCTAACTAATGTTCAACAAATTATAGACAAATTATTAATACAGAAATGTTCCTATACATGAATGTCCAGGTTAAATATTAATATTAGCTACGGGCATTAAAAAAGTTGAAACAACAGCATGTAACTAATCTAGTAGCTTCAGTGGCTTAATCATTTACCTGAAATTTAGAATGAGTTTTCTCCACCAGTCTTTTCACAAAATCCTCACTTTCCAAGTTAATCAAGCCGATCTGAATAAAAAGTATAAGTAGAAAACCCAGGAAGCTCAAAAACTAAATTTGGAATTCGGAAACTACTCAACATGTACAACAAAAAATCATAATACATAATTTAGATGGTAAGTAGTACAAGAAGAATTCATAATAAATAATTTAGATGGTAAGTAGTTGTGGAAAAAAATAGAAGATACAGAATTGAAAACTGCATAGTTACAACCTATACAAATATTTGGCATTTGTTGCAAAATGCATCAAAGAATGGTGCAATATAAGTCAAAGGCAACAAATGTGACGAACTAGGCTAACTCCATTGTTTCTTTTACTATGTAAATATCATTATAAAAATTTAAAAGTTTATTGTTTTTCAAAACCTGCTGGTTATGTGCACTGCAACTTTGAAAGGCATGTCCATCATATATTATACGTGTCTTTTATGAAAGATTGCCACTACGATGCTGAGAACAGAATAATGTTCCCAAAAGTTTAAAAATAAAAAGTGGTCTTAGTGATTAAAAAAAAGGAAAATGGACAATAAATCATTGAATAAATTTCTTTAACCATATACATATCTACAAGCTATAGCAATGTTTACTATGCATGTCTAAATTTTAATGGTCAGTTGAAATTTGCAGAGCTGACAAGTAACAAACTTGTGTAATATAAAAATTATTAGATTTGCAAGTGAAAAATTAAATAGCATAGGGGAAAAGTGGGAAAGTTAAGACAATTGGTTGATCAGATGAATTACCAATATACGTAACTACAATTTCTGATGTAAATTATTCCCAAAATAATTAGATAGACTTGCACTATCATAACTTACTGTCCACCAAGTTTCTTATACTGATTACTCAAAATAGTTCGGCTTGTTCACACATATAAATCAAACTCTGAAAACAAAACACATGCTCACACTAACACGCGTACCCAATGATAATAATAATAAGAGCATCTTATTATTATATGAGAAATAAATGCACGCTTACATGCCCTAATTAAGAGGGAAATATTACAACATACGGTGAAATAAATAATGCACGCCATTTGCAGTTCAAGAGGGATACAGAGAGAAGGAAAGCTCTACCAGGGTTCCATAGAACGGAATCTTGTGAGGCAATTGCTCAGAACATGTAAGAAGGAACTGCATGAAGACAATAAAGTAAATATCTGATCTCATAATACTAAACATGGAAGTGTCATATATATAGCAACAAACAAAAGCACAGCATATAACAATTTATCAGGCACCGTAGACACCAATAAGTGTAAGCAGGTGTCTAAATATAAAGTGCACCACACAGCGAGCATATAACAGCATCATTATAAAAAACATTAGAATAGCTTAATTCGAAGAAAAAAAAGTGGAGGAAACAGTACAAGACAGCTAGAAAATCATTATACCTAATATTACCACATTATAGTTATACACTCTAATCAAACTTCAATGTCCATTCATATTACCGAAACAAATAATTTTTCCTATTGATTGAAAGCTCTTTCTAACTAGCATCGAATTTTCCAAAAATCACTTGTTTGAATCAACCAAAAATCGCTGCTCAGACCTAAGAAAGGATGTTGAAAATAGATAACAACGCATTCTAGCCTCTTAATCAAGCTTCATAGTAACAAAAATCAAATTCAAATCAAGTGAATTGCTTCAGTGATAATTAGGTTTAACCTAACCATTAGAACTTAGAAATTGACCTACCTCCAAAATTTCAGTTTCGGAGTGTTCGAGCTCTCGGCGAAGGGCACCAAAACACGTTTCCTAAAAATCAAAAAAGCCAAAAAAAATAATAATAGTCATTACAAAATCTAGATGAAGAATAAGTTGAAATCAAAAAGCGAAAGAGAAAGGGAAAAAACGAACAATGTGGTCTTTGAAGTCGGAGGAGGGTCCATATTCGGGGCTTTTGTCACCGATCCGTAGAAGAAGGCTTCTCCAACTACTCATCGTGTTGTGCGACACTACACGGAGAGAATGTAAGAACTGAGAAGAAAACAAGGCACGGGAATGAAAAAGAAGGGGCAACGGTAAGTAATTGTGTTGCAGGGTTTAAGTTTAGGTCTGAACTCTGAAGTGAAGTGAACCGAGAGCTCGATTTTCAACTCTCAACCCTAACAATAGCTAAACTAAACCCCAAACCCGTAGTGATACTGTTGTTCTATTTTATTTTATGTTCTGTTCTAGATATTCAATTTACTCTTATATTTTGTAACGATTGAATATGAGATTTTGCTCATATTAATAGGTCAATCTTAAAAAGTTTACAATTTTATTAAAAAAATAACAGTTAGTCAGGCAATTTGAAAATAAAAATAACAAATTGCCACAATTTGAAAAGACTTTCCTACCTAGAATTCGTCCAGGACGGCCAATTGAAGGGTCATTTCATCTAATTGGGACTCGGTTATTTGTTGGCCGACCCTATAGTATGTGGTTTTTTTTTGTTTTTTTTTTTTTCAAAAATAAATATATATTATATATTATTATTTTATGTTTTAAATTGTTTTATATATATTAAAATTATTTAAATGATATTTATATTAATAAATAAATAATTTAATTATTTTAAATAATTTTTTAATATTAGTATATTTTTTATATTATCTAATTAATTGTTTTTTATATATTAAAATTATTTAAATGATATTTTATATTAATAAATAAATAATTTAATTATTTTAAATATTTTTTAATATTATTAAATATTTTTCACATTATCTAATTAATTGTTTAACTAAATAATTATATAAAATAATAAATTAAATCATAAAGAAATGATATTTTATTAATATTTATGAGTGGAAAAAATACATCATTTTTAGACAGGCCGATTTGATGGACCTGCCACGTTCGGACATTTTCTCCGCATATGACTGATTTCTCGACAAATTCCACATCTTCTCTTTTCTTTCTCAAAATCGTCCATTTCAGTTGTAATTCTTGTACTATTTGAACGCCCTTTCTTATATTCTTCGCATTGTTTCGTCATGGCAAAGAGTGTATCCTTCATATGTTGGTCAGTTTTGCTGGTGTGGAAGTCCAAAAAAGCTTTGGCTGTATACTTTGAATACACTTAGAACCTTGAAAACATATGGTATGTGCATGTTATGGTTCTGTCGTATACTGGCACATGCTGCGATTACATGGGAGCAAGGTAAATGAAATGCCTGAAACCTCCCACAATCGCACCACCCTCTCCTGAGATCAATGCTAAAAGTACCTAATGGTTGGCCATCGCGTTGATTAATGCTTTCGGCAACCATAAAACAGAATCTCTCGCGATCAAATTGAATGACATTATGGTTGCTAGATTTAATCGCCTCATCGGTCATTCCCTTGTTACAGTTTTCCGTGAATGTTTGACCAGATGCCAACATTTTTGTCCAATCGTGTCCTCGTTTTCCAAACAGCGATCCCAGACGATAGTACGTTGACTTGACCAATGTTGTAATAGGAAGGTTTCGGGTAGCCTTAAGTACCGAGTTCATAGATTCGGCCAAATTTGTGGTCATGTGTCCACACCGATGTCCTCCGTCAAACGCCCTCGACCACTTTTCTCTGGGAATATTGTCAATCCACTTCAAAGCTGCTCTATCTGTTCTTCGTAATTCACCCCTGTAGTAGTTAAATGTTACCTCTGTTAGTGCATATCATGTAGATGAAAATGTTTAAACAAAATGATCAGTAGAACATATGAAAATTATTAAGTCAACAAATAAAAATTGAAACAACAACTTGTGAAGATGTAGACATACCCATGTTGACAACTGTTTTCCGTAGTGCTTTGTTTCTGAACTCACGCATGAAGTTTTGCGCAATGTGTTTGATACAGTAAACATGTGAAGATGGAGGGAACTGCCACCCATTTTCAGGATCATCATAAGCATTCTTGATTGATGGATGTCGGTCGGATATTAGACAAAGATGGGCCTATGGGGTCACGTGCATTCTCAAATTCCCGAGAAAGAAACTCCAACCATCATTTGTCTCTCCTTCAACCAATGTGAATGCTATCGGGAAAATGTTACCATTTCCATCTTGTGCCACCACAGCCATTAACAAAGTCCCTTTGTACTTGTCGTACAACCAGGTTCTGTCAATTTGCACAATCGGTTTACAGTGACTAAAACCACGGATACACTGTTCGAATGCCCAAAAAAGTCGGTGAAATTTCTGTTTGTCACCCGATTAGGTTCCGTCCTCTGTAATAATCGGCAATGTTTCCAACTGTATAACAGTTCCAGGAAGATATGTCTTCAGCACCAACAACCATTGTGGTAGGTCATTGCAAGACGTCTCCCAATTCCCATAAAGTGATTCTACAGCTTTAATCTTTGCAATCCAAGCTTTCCGATATGAGATTTTATAACCGTATTTTTCAGCAATATGGGCTTGTATAACTTTGACTTTTAGTGAAGTGTCGCTGTTAACAAGCTCTCTGATGTTGTGGCTAATAATTTCAGAATCTAATTTTCTACGATCCTGTGACATAGAAGTTGTTGTGCATGTGTGTGATCCTCTTATAGTAGCGATTTCCCATAATGTGTTTTTTTTACGCAATGCAACTATACATTTGAAGACGCATTGTGGGTTCTTACATTTTATTATATACCTTACTGAATCAGATTTATATACTGCATAGTCAAGGTTGTTACTAATATGCCAATGTTGTAAAAAAAAAGAACACATGCTTCCTTATTTTCAAACACCAAACCTACTTCCAATTTTTCACCATTATGGTTTGGTTTGTCATTTTCAAAAATATAGATGGGTTGAGAAGACTCCATACATATGTTTGACATATGCACTGGTGGATTGTACAGATTTATGGGTTGAGCATATATTACCTGTGAATGCACGAGTTCATCGTCACCCTCGTCATCGTCATCACCGAATAGATCTTCAAAGCGAACATCATCGAGTTCATCGTCACTGTATTCACCAACCTCCTCGTCTCGGATGAAAGGTTTATTATTTTGCGTTATTTCTTCACCAATTGTTTGGCTCACTCCATATTGATGCGAATATGATGATTGTGTTGGATATGCTTCATCTTCGAGGCGAACATATAACTCAATCGTCTTCAATTGGGACATTGTGTAATGACATTGAAACATTGATCTGGCTGCGCTGTCTGTGTCTATCTGCATCATTACGTAGAACACACCACCATCTACCCCATTAGGTAATGGTTGACGGTAAGTAATATCCTGAATTGAACGATTCACTTTTTTTTCAATTCTATCTTTTAGATGAAGGATATCAGAACTTCGATGAATTTTGAACATCACAGTATCTGTTCCGTTGAATGAAAAATCGATATTTTCATAAGTAAACACGGAACCATTGTAGTGTATAGTGACCAATGTATTTCTATCTGCCATGAATGATTTTTTGATACTGACAGTGTGGGAGTGGGAGTTATATGTGTGTGTGTGAACTGCAACACTTGCATGCAAAATATATAGGATTTTTTGATAATGACAGTGTGGGAGTGGGAATTAGATGTGTAGTCTGCAACAATTGCATGAAATATATATAGAACAGTCGTGCATGTTGAGCTAGTTAAGGGTCGTCCATCCAAAGGACGAACTCGTTCATTCCTAGTTAAGGGTCGTATTTCCAAAGGACGAACCCATTCATTCTTAGTTAAGGGTCGTCCAACCAAAGGACGAACCCATGAGGCACGTGTAGGGGTTCGGCCATTCCAAGAGCGAACCATTAAAGAGTGCAATTTGCATGCTGGCCACGTGTCGTTGCATGCTTCTAGGGTTTAATACATTAGGGTGCAGGAGAATCAATTTAGGCTGTAGAAGAATCATAGGGTGCAGTCTAGTATTGCATGCATGTTGTTTTCCAAAGGATATTGGTATGTATTATGTAGTAGGGTGCATCCATTTTTCTTATAAATACTTCTAAACCAATATTTCAAAACCACTACTTCTAAATATATTCTTGAAAATCACTACTTCTAAACCAATATTTCAAAAAATAACATTCTAAATCAATACTTCTAAATGGCAATGTTGTGGATGGGAGAAAATCATCGGGGGAACACCGACCAATGTTGCCGCATTTGTAAGTTTTTTTTATTCACACTTGTGTTTTTTTTCTTCATCAAGTTTGTATTTATTTTTTCTATATTTGAAACAGTCCGATAGCGAGAGATTTAGACTACATTCTCATGCTATCGATGCATCAAATGACGCAATCAAACCGTTTTTGGAACGAGCGGGTTTCGCAAAAGTTGCAGAAATCTCCTCAATCATAGTTGATTCAAAGTTTGTACTCGCTATGTTTGAGAGGTGGAGACCAGAAACACATATTTTCCATCTACCAACAGGTGAATGTACCATCACTTTGGAGGATGTGAGTATGTTATTGGGTCTTCGTATGAATGGCAAGGCTATGAATGGTCCTACTTAGATACGAGGTGATGTGTATATGGAACATTTAGGTATCGAACCTACAACATCCGATAAACATAAAGCGTGTGTTAAAATTGTTTGGCTACAAACTACATTAGCACGATTATGACAAATAACAACACCATCCGATGAGGATAACATTCTCCATGCAAAAATATATATTTTACTACTCATAGCTAAAGTATTAATGTCAGACAAGAGCCATAACTATTTACATTCTTCTTGGATACCCCTAGTAGGAGATTTAGATAAATGCAATAGATATAGTTGGGGTTCTGCTTGTTTGGCTACATTATATAGGCATATGTGTAAAGCATGTATGGTAGGGGTCAAAAGTATTGGTGGGTGTGCTCTACTTCTAAGTGTTTGGACATATTGGTGTATACCACTATTAGCTCCAGATTCTCCCGTCGATTCACACCATCCTTATGCAACAAGGTAAATTTTTTTTACATTTTATTTATCATTTATTTTCTTTTTTTTCCATCTCTAAATTATTTTTATTTCTTTTAACATTGC